AACAATCCCTTGAAAGATATTTGTCTACCTTTCGCTTAAATATCTCCAGTGATGGAGCTTAAACTCTCTCTCTAACCAAATTATTCCAGTGCTTAACTGCCCTGACAGGAACTTTTTTCTAATGTTCAACCTAAAACGCCCTTGCTGCAATTTAAGCCCATTGCTTCTTGCTCCATCAACAGAGATTCTTCTCCCTCCTTCTTGTAACAACTTTTTATGTACTTGAAAAACTGCTAACACATCCCCTCTCAGTCTTCTCTATTCCTTTTCCAAGCTAAACAAGCCCAGTTCTTTCAGTCTTCCCTCGTAGGTCATGTTTTCTAGATCTTTAATAATTTTTGTTGCTCTTCTATGGACTTTCTTCTAAATTATCCACATCTTTCCTGAAATGCAGCATGCAGAACTGGACACAATAATCTACTTGACGCCTAATCAGCACAGAATAGAGCAGAAGAATTACTTAGTTACTTAGTTAAAATAATTCTGCTAATACACCCCCAGAATATTGTGTGTAGGGTTTTTTTGTTTTGTTTTTGTATTTTTTAGCAACAGTGTCACACTGTTGACTCAGTCAGCTTGTGGTCCACTAGGACCCCCAGATCCCTTTCTGCAGTACTCCTTCCTCAGCTGTGATTTTTCATGCATGTAATTGATTGTTCCTTGCTAAGTGGAATGCTTTGCATTTGGCCTCATTGAATTTCATCCTATTAATCTCAGACCACTTCTCCAGTTGGTCTGGAGAATTATAATCTTGATCATTTTGAATTATAATCTTATCCTCCAAAGCACTTGCAACGCATCCGAGCTTGGTATCATCCCTAAACTAAATAATGACTTTGAGAGTACACGTATAAAATTATTGATGAAGATGCTGAACAGAACTGGACCCAGAACAGATGGATCTTTGAAGAGTCCCATTTGTAATATCCTTCCAGCATGACAACTCATTGACTACGTCTACACTACAAGTTTTCTTGGCAAAAAATACCCTAATGAGGACTCATCTGCATAAGTCACAATCTCATTTGCATATTTTCTGCCAATTCATTTTTGTTCTGAGGTTTTTGCGCAAAAACAAGCAGTGTGGACTTTTTCTTTTTTTGCAAAAACCCCTTTTTCCACAAGATCAGTATGCGCGACAGTATTCAAATGAGTCCCTCGTTAGCATTTTTTTACCTAGAAAACTCTTAGTGTAGATGTAGCCATTGCCATTGAGAACTACTCTCTGGGAATGGTTCTCTGACCATTTATGCACCCAACCTTACAGTAGCTTCATCTAGGTTCTATTTCTCTAGTTTGTTAATGCAAGAGCGTATCAAGAGCTTTGTTATTCTGTCAAATAAAGCTAATAGGTTGGCTTGACACAATTTGTTCTTGACAAATCCATGCTGTCACTTATCACCTCATTATCGTCTAGATATTTGCAAACTAACTGTTTAACTATTTGTTTCCTTATCTTTCCAGGTACGGAAGCTAAGGTGACTAGTGTGTAGGTGGCCAATTTATTTCCGTTTTTATAGATGGGCACTATATTTGCCCTTTTCCAGTCTTCTGGAATATCTCCTATCTTCCATGTAATTTTGGAAATATACATAGTGATATTTTTCTACAATTAGGAATCCACTACAAAGCATCCATGTTAACAGACACTCAAGAAGGAGTGGCCCTAGCAGAGGTTTGCAGGGGCTGTTGTCCACCCCAAAATGTGCTTTAAATTTCTCTACCCTGTAGCCATCCCTCCCAGAGTAAGGTCACGAAAGGGTGGCATGATATGGCATTGCCTCCTTTATCTCTGCAGTTCTGCACCACAGCTGGCGACAGCACTGCTTTTAGAGCTGAGCACCTGGCCAGCAGTCATTGCTCTCCAGCTGCCCAGCTCTGTACACAGCACTTGCCACCACCAGCATTGCAGATCTAAGGGTGCCAGTCAGTGATAATAAGCCTGCTGTGAAAAGTGCTATTTGTATGTTTGTTAATATCACTTTTCACAGCAGACTTACTAGTACCCCTTTGCCACCCTTTCGTCTGTACTGCTGCTGACCATGGCTCTGCCTTTAGATCTGGGAAGCTGTGAAAACAGATATTATATGTTTGTTAACATCACTTTTTACAATCTTCCAAGGTCACTAGCAAATCAAGTGACATTGACTAAGTAGGTATGTAAAGATTCTGGCATCACAGGGAGAGTATAGAGAACTTCAGGCTTCACTTAATGGACCCTTGGCATGTTTTCCTACCTTAAAAGATAAATCTTCAAACGCTGTCTCTGGCTCTATGTAGTCACTAGCAGGTGCACAATTCTAGCATTACAGAATCCAAGAGGCTATATTTATTCCACTAGAAAACTGTTCTTCAGGAGTTTATTCTGTCCCTCACAATCCAATTTCTGTGTTATGGTATCGTCCTTCAGTCAAATATGAAAGTTGTTCAAGTGCGAAAGCCCTCTAAATATGTGACTAACAATCTTTAGATGTTTTCAATAAATTCTCCCATCACGCTTATGAAAGAGAAGTACCTGATCATCTTTTTCAAGAAAATAAATTCTGCAGTTCTTTTCAAATTCACTAAAAGAAAATAATTACTGTTCTCAATCTAATCCCAGTAATAGTGTTGCTGAGCTGAATATTGGTAACATGTCAACTCAAAGCCCGCAATGCATGCTAAAGATGATGATGAAGTAGCAAGAAGAGAAGCAATTATTCTAATCTATACTAATGTATGTTGAAAAGAATAAATTCTGCAAATTTATTAGGACAGCTGGTATAAAAGTACAAGTACAAAATGCAAAACAAAAATAAGAAGTGAAGAAGCCCTATACACTCTTGTAAACTAAATTTTATAGTAAGACACATTACAGGACTCTGGTGTAGCAGATGAGATAAACCATAGAAACTTAATTTAAAATTAGATAAGAAAATTAATAAAGCTATGCCAGAGTAGTAAATAAAGACTTGCATTTTGAGAATAAGTTTTATTCATGGTCCTATATTTTCAGTTTTCAATGTATAGCTGATGTCTGTATTAATATGTAACAGCATCATAGGCTATATCTAATTAATTCTGGTCCACAAGAAGGTATGTTAATAAAAACATGGTTCTGCAGGCTGCTGGCTTTTATTTTAATTATTGCATCAGTTAAACCTATTAGGATAAAAATACTGGAAGCCACTTGAACCTTGTCTATATCATGTCTCCATTCAGTACAGCTGAACTTATGAAAAATTTATTTCTGAACTTCCTCAGCACAGACATAGCTCAGAAGATGTCATGAAGGAAGCTGGCACTTTTGCAAAAGGATAGGGGACAAAGACAGAATCTGCAACCATATGCACTATCTTTGTGGAGCACAGTATTAACTTGCTGAATGTTAAATGGATCGCTGTAGGCCCGTGGTCTCCTACCTCCTTAAGCACAAGATCACTTTTTGAATTTAAATCAACTCAGGATCTACCTCAAACCCAAATACCCCTGCTCTGCCCTTTCTCCAAGGTCCCGCCCCTGCCCCCATCCCTTTGCTGAGGCCCCACTCTCCTCACTGTGAAGCGGAATATAGCAAGAGGGAACTCTATGACATCAGCACCCCCTTGCCTCTGTCTTCCCTACCCTGCACAACAAGCAGAAGATTCCCAGAAGGCAGCTCTGAGACTCTGGGCAGTAGCAGCAGGGCAGTGTGGGGAGGGGCAGCTGAAGTGCCAGCACTTGATAGTCTCCCAGCCAAACCAGTCAAGATCACCTGTTAAAGGCTCCAAGATCTACCAGTAGATCCCAATCTACTGGTTGGAAACCACTGCTGTAGGCTGGTTGTATTCCAATCAATGGGGAGGGTTATCCTATGTTCTCCAAGAACAAAAAGCAGTGCAGGATAATTACTGCAGTCCATAGGAATATAAAACAGCACCAGAACAGTACCACACTTTGGGGTAATTTGCATATATTGAATCAAGACAGGCTTTAAGAAACAGAGGAGACAAATAAGGAACTTATGATATAAAGGGGCAGCTTAATCCCACAGAGGGGTCTTCTTTTTCATTCAACAATTGAATAAGGCTTTTTGATCAAAAGGGGACACAACCATGCTAAAAGGTTTGGAACCTGCCAGGATCTCCCTAGGACTAATGTGGGGTACTGGTCAAGTATTTAGATTATTTTACTCTTTCGTATGTTTTCTCTATATACTTTTCTCCTAAAAAAAATGTGCTGTTTTGAAGAACTGCTTGGTGACTTATAACCATTGGTATTCCTTGATCATAACCCTGGAAAAAACACAAAGTGCAAACGCATTGCTGTCACAGATCTTAGACACAAAGGGAGGCAAAGCCTGTGTTTCCTTTCCCAGCCTAATACCTTCTCATGCCTTTAATTAAACTTTGACCTAGTCTGCAGTATAAAAGGTTTTCCAGTAACAACAATACCAACTATCCCTCCTAAAATGCTTTTGTCAAGATAACTTACACCTGTTCCCAGAGCAAAACAAGTTATACTGGCAAAAGCACTTTTTTGCCAGTATGAATGTGTCTTCACTAGAGTTTCTGGCTAGTATTTTAAAAATGTGTTAAATAGATCACCCTCCTCAAACCAACATCATTCCAGCAAAAGTTTAAAGTAGAGACATGGCCTTTGCCTATTTGCTCCAGACACCTAACTACTTGGGTCTCAAGAAAAATCCTTCAACATGGGTCTCAAGAAAAATCACCCATATGCTTTGCTAGATCTGTGGCTGGAAGACTTCAGCAACAGTTTTCAGTTGATCTCCTAATGAAACGGTAGGGCAAGCACGATTAAGGTGCATCTGAGATGAACTAACTTGAGCAGCTGAATATGTTGTCAAATATATTTTAAAAATAAAATTGAAATTCCTGTTTCAGAATATGTTTTATGCTTAGCTCCTCTTAAGTAATTAGGTGCTATGTTAGTAACTAACTTTAGGATTGATCACACTTCAAGTATACACCTATTTGATACACATAATTTAAAAAGCAAAACCATTTGATGATGCTTACCCTGCTGGACGAGTAGCCATATCTAACAAAATACTCTTCCACTCCCTTCGCTTAAATTGCCATATACGTGCTGTCCCATCACGGCTTCCGCTCACAAATCTACAGAAGAAAAATTACCATTCAATATCAATCAATCAGAGGTAAGACAATCTATATGAAAATAGTTTATAGTGAGAAAGTACTATCAATCATTAAATTTTTATTTCTGTAATGTATTACACAAGCACAATAATATACCTATTATTACAAGAATTGTACTACTGATTTTGGGTGAAACATACTTCAAATACAGAGAGAAAAACAAGGCAAAATTAACTTTCCAGCCCTTCTTTACTCAATTACTTACTGGAATTAAGGCTTATACACATATGTAAATGGATCACGTGGCACCTTCTCATGGTCTTTCTATTTACCACTCTTTGCTCTGCTGAATGTGAGACCACAGTAGACACATCAGGGTAACTCTATGCCAGGGGTGAGGAACCTCCAGTGCACTGGCCTCACCCAGTTCATGAGAGTTAGCCACTGGCAAGCCATCACACTATTTGTTTACTTGAGCGTCTGCAGGCACAGAGCCCTGTAGCTCCCAGTGGGCGCAGTTCACAGTACCAAGCTAGAAGGAGCTACAGGAAATGGTGCAGACCAGGCCACCATTTGCCACATCTCCTGTTGCCCAGGAACAATGAATTGTAACCCTGCAGAACAACGAGTGGCCATGCCTGCAGATGCTCAAACAAACAGTCTGGCAGCTCGCCAGCGGTTAACCCTGACAAACCATCTTATGGCCCATGAGTTGGAGGTTCCCAACTTCTGTTCTGTATAGATGCGAAGCCAATGCCTCATCCCCTCACTCAGTCCAAGTACAGAAGCTAAGTTGTATAAAAGACCAAGATATGAGGAAAGTAGAAATTAGCAATAAAGACACCTGATTTAAACAAGAAGGAAAAAAGGATTATTACCCTTTCATAACAGTTGTTCAAGTGTGGTGTTCACATCCATTCCAACGAAGGTGTACATGTGTTGTCGGAAACTTTCCCCTAGCAGCCTCCAAAGGGTCATCCAGGGAGCCCACTGGAGTGGCAATGATATATGGTACCATATATGATCCTGCTGACCCACCCCTCCCTAAGCTTCTTCTTGCCAGCTACACCGACTGAGGGGAAGGAGGATGAGTACTGGAATGGACATGAACACCACATCCTCCAAGAACAGTTACGAAAGATTAGTTACTACTTTTTCTTCTTAGAGTACTTGTTCATGTTAATTCTAATTCTGAACTCAAGGTGGTGGGGTCAGAATCAGTTATCCATGACTGCAGGACTGCCTCATCCACTGTGTTATCATCTCAGGCTTGTTGGTCAATACCATACTGGGCTGTGAACATGTGGACTGAAGACCAGGTAGCTGCTCTGCAAGTATCCTGAGTAGGAACTTGAGCTAAGAAGACTGTCGAAGAGATGATGGCCCTTGTGGAATGTGTGGTAACTGCAGGTTTGAGGCACCTGCTAACTCATGGCACTTACAGATACAGTCTGTGATCCATAAAGAGATGCATTGAGAGGAAACTAAGCCCTCTCATGCACTCTGCAATGACAACAGAAGTGGAAGTTACTTCCTAAAAGGTTTTGTGCTCTCTATATAAAAAGTGAGCACTCTACCGATAGGACACGTTGCAAGTGCAGCAGCTGTTGCCATGCATAGGTATGTGGCTTAGTGTAGAATGCAAGTAGGAAAATATCCTGGCTTAAGTGGAACTGTGACACCACCTTGGGAAGGAAAGCCAGATGAAGCCTGAGCTAAATCTTATCCGTGTGGAAGACTGTATAGGATGGTTCAGATGTGAGCGCCCTCAAGTCAGAGACCCTTCTGGTAGATGTAATCGCCAACAGAAAGGCTACGACAGACAGAGGAGCGAGCAAGAAGCTAGCAGCTCAAAAGGTGGATACATCAACTTTGAAAGGACTAAGTTAAGGTCCCACGTGGGCAGTAGTTGCCTCACCTAAGGAAAGGATCTATCTTGCCTCCTTGGGGAAACGCCTCACCAGGGGATTTTTGAAAACTAAGTGACCGCCTTCCCCATGGTAGAATGCTGAAATAGTTGCAAGATGGACCATACCCCAAAAAAGCATTAAGCCCTGATCCTTGAAGTGGATCACATAATCAAGGATAAAAGGGATGGAGGCCTGGGTGGAGGAGACCTGGTGCTCAGCACACCAGAATGAAAACCTCTTCCACTTAGTCAAGTAAGTGGCTCTAGTGGACTGTTTCCTACTGCCTACAGAATCTGTTGGACTTGAAGGAAACACTGGAACTCTGTAGCACTTATGGGGCTTCTGTGCCATGAGATTCAGAGACGGATGGTCCAGGTGCCTCAGGTGGCCGCTGTCCTGGGATATCAGGTCTGGCTAAAGGAGAGCTCTATGTGCAACTGCACTGACACCCCCAAGAGTGCAGTATACCAATGCTGGCATGGCCAGACCAGCATCAGCAGGATTACCTGGGCTGCTTCCCTGCAGATTTTGAGGATTACTTTGTGAATCAGGGGAAAGGGAGGGAAGGTGTACAACAGCCATCCCGTCCATAGAAGTATGAATGTGTCCACCAGTGACCCTGGACTGAAGCCCCTGAATTAGCAGATTTCTTGTCAGAGTCTGTCACAAACAGATCCATCTAAGGAGTTCCTCAGAAATGGAAGATGAAAAGGAAAACATCTGTCACCAACCATTCAAGGGTGAGAAAGGACCTGCTTGGGCAGTCAGCCACTACATTCCTGACCCCTCATGAGATAAGAAATCTCCAGATGAATGGAACTGGCTATACAAAAAACTTCCATAGGAGGAGACCTTCATAGCACAAGGGGAAAGATTTTGCACTGCCCTGCTTAAACATGCTGACAGTATTGTCTTTCAGAACTATTATGGTGTGTTGTGCGTGAGAAAGGACCTGCTTGGGCAGTCAGCCACTACATTCCTGACCCCTCATGAGATAAGAAATCTCCAGATGAATGGAACTGGCTATACAAAAAACTTCCATAGGAGGAGACCTTCATAGCACAAGGGGAAAGATTTTGCACTGCCCTGCTTAAACATGCTGACAGTATTGTCTTTCAGAACTATTATGGTGTGTTGTGCCACCGCTCTGAGCTCCTTGACATTGATGTTCAAGAGCCTCTTATCACTTACCCCAGATTCACAGGTTGGTCCCCGCAGGTGTGCTCCCCATCCCAGATCTGACATGTCTTTGACTAACATCATTTCTGGCTGAAGGGCCTGAAAAGAGGCCCCCGCACATACCACTCAAGGGTTCACCCATTGCAGAAGGGTCTGGAGGACTGCCAGTGGAACGGTAATTACGCTGGATCCTGGAGCAGTCTAAGCCTTAGTCTGACATGTGTAAACATGTAAGTGAATGCTGCCATGCGACCAAGTAAGCTTGGGCAGCTCCTAGATATCATGGGGTACTGGCGTAGCAATTGAATGAGGCGCATGGCCTGGTGGTCTTGGAATCTATCATCACCCCAATAAACTCTACTCTTTGAGTGGGGATGAGAGAGGACTTCCCTATGCTGAGAAGTATACCTAACCTCTGAAACATGTCCTTTACCAGGCGAACATGTGCCTCTCTCTGCTCCTTGGAGTGGCCTTCTCAGCAGCTAGTCTTCAAGGTAGAGATACACCTCTACCCTCCTCACAAAAAGAAAGCAGCCACCACTGCCATGCACTTCAAGAAAACACAGGGAACTGTGGAAAAGACAAAGGGGAGTACCACAAACTGGTAATGTACCTGACTTACCACAAACCAGAGGACGTGTCTGTGGGGTCAGTAAATGGCTATGTGGAAATGAGTGTCCTTCATACTGAGGGCTGCATACCAAGCTTCTAGATCCAGGGAGGAGACAGTGGAAGTGAGTGAAAGTATGCACAACTTCAGTTTCAACAGGAACTCGTTGAGACCATGGAAATCCAAGATATGTCTGAGACCACCTTTCACTTTTGGAACAACGAAATAGCAGGAATAATATCCTTTTCTTCTGAACTCCTGAGGAACCTCCTCTATCGCCCCCACAACTAGAAGTGACTGCACTTTCTGCTAAAGAAGCTGCTTGTAAGATGGGTCCCTGAAGAGCAATGGGGGGTGAGAGGGTGGTGACAGGGTAACAGTGAGTGCAACTGGAGCAATATAGCCAGGACTCAACAGCCCTATGTAATGAGGGCCCATGCTTGGTAGAAGGAGGATAGGCTGCTGTCAAAACAGGGGAAGAATATAAGGTAGGTACTGGTCCGCTGCCTTCCAACAGCCCATCAAAATCTGGTTTGGAGGTCAGAGGGAATTCTGCACCTTTTATAACAGCCTCTATGCCTATATGACTCCTAGCAGAGTCAGAGGTAGAACTGGCACTGCCAGTACTGTTGCTGAATGGTTTCCTCTGTGTGGCCGGGGTGTGCATCCTCACAGAATGTATAGTGGTCCTTGGTATACTTCAGACTATGGAGACAGGAATCGATTTATTGAAAGAACAGTTCCAAGCCATCAAAGGGGTGATCCTGCAAGGTTTGCTAAATCCCTGAAGGGAGGCCTGAAGCTCATAATTCAGGCCAAATTTCACCTAATGCTCCCTGTAGCCAGTGAACATGCCACTGAGTCGCCTGCATCCACAGAGGCCTAGGGAGCCTCTTCTGCACAAGAGCACAAGATCTTCAAACTTTTGGGATGAATCCCAGCTATTAAAATTGTACCTGCCGAGGTTGGCTATCCACAGCTGGAGTTCTCCCACAGCATATACGTTCCTCCAGAAAATATCAAGAAGCTTCACCTCTTTGGCCTTCGATGCAGCTGGTCCTGCTGCTTCTGGTCGGTCAGAGCGGAAACCACCAACGAACATGGAGAGGGATGTGAGTACAGATAACTGTACCCCTTGGATGAAACACAGTATTTCCTCTCCACGTCTCTGACTGCCGGGGGACGAAGGCCAGGGTTTGCCAGATTGTGAGATTTTTCTCTACTGTCTTAATGAAGGGCATATGTCTACCCTGAATGGCCCTTCTTGGGTCAGACTGTCCACAAAGAGACCTCCATCTTAGTCACCTCTTCTACATGAATTCCCATATTACGGGCCATCCTGCAGGGAAGGTCTTAGAGATCTCTGTGGTCTATTGGGGGAGGTCCCAATGTGGATGCTCCAGCCCCCACCGGTTAACCTTAACGAGTAAGTCTCATCCATTAAGGGTGCACACACCTTCACTGGAATTGATGTGAACAAGCACTCAAAGAAGAACAATCTCTGAACTAATCCAGATCTGTATATTTTGTCATAGCTGTTATACCACCTAAATTGAACCTCTCTCTCTCTCGTATGGCTTGAGTTTATTTAAAAAAAAAAAAAAAAAAAAAAAAAAAAAAAAAGGTGTTTCTCTTCCACATGCAGTTTAGAACATGATGCAATTGCATATTAGAACACTAAGTTTCAGGGCAGTGGGGAGAGAAGGGTGGCATGATCACCTTCCTAATTAATTAAAATTTCTTACCATCTTTCATGTCAACTATCTAGAAGAGCTTTACAGATTATTATAATATTTATAAAAAATATATATACTCATACATTTCAGGATAATCAGAGAAATACTGTCCAGAACATTCTTCCTTTGCCCACCTGACTACTGCCACTTATAAAAAGGTTCTTTAGGTAGCCTTCCAGGACAATGGATAAAGTATACTACAAATATTTCTAAAGTTCTACCAAAGCACCTTTCGTTCTTCAGAACACACAAAAAATTGATCATAACTAACTAAGCATTAGGCACTTGTAATGAAAACGATGATAAAGAGGAAGTGACAAAGATTTTAAATAAATATAACGATGACCCATAAAAATTACCAAATATTGCAGAGATTAAATGTAAAGAGGTGAACACAGAAAGCTTTAAAATGTATGAAAAGTATTTTTAAGATACTCTAGAAAACAGATGACATTTGGAAATTATTTTTCTGAGGTTGCAAAAATTGTTCTGAAATATAAACATACAAATATTTGCTTGCTTACCTGTTACTAGTGTTAGAAAACTGAATGCTGTCAACTTTGTCCTACATAAAGAACATAAAAATTACCAGTGAATTCAAGCTACTAAAACAATGAAATCAAATATTTAAATAACTTTTAAATATATTTACAGTATGAAACTCCAACTCTGATATCTTCTCAGGCTGACCTGATCCAAAAAAATAAACCCTAATGATGTGATCTGTACTTCCAGTGGCCAAAAACATTCCACCTAAGAAAGAAAAGCACAAATAAGCAATATTCACGACAAAAAAAGGTACATTTGTCAATGACCTTAAATATATTGTTCATTTCATTATCATAAAAATGTATAGCTATGTTCGTTATGACTGTCTACTATACAGAATTTCACAAAAAAATTAAGACACCAACATACTATAAAGTTTTACATTTACACAAATAAGACTACTAATTTTTCCTCAAAACAATACTAAACAACTATTTTTTTTTTTATAAATTAACTTTTCATACGCAAAATAAATGTAGGTTTTTAATTAAAGAGGACACAGACAAAGGAAGCTAGTTTCCAAGCTCAACCGTAGATTTGATTTTCTCTGGTCATTGGAAGCAGAATTTTCAAAAGTGTGCAACTGACTTAAGCTTCTAAGTCTAGTTTTCAACTCTAATTGTCCAAGTCCCTTCTAAATTCAGTATATGATATGTAAACAAATCCTTTGATTCTCTCTCTTATGCATAGTAAACATTGCACTTGGAGGACACTAAATCACAAACACATTAACACACGACCTTATACCTAATAATATCTAACGATTCCCATACAGCAAACACAAAATGTCTAATATGAAAATCCATTATTACTAATAATAATTCTTAACTTATAAGGCATGTTTCTTCAGTAGATCTCATCAAATTAAGTAAGCACGAATACTACATTTTACTAAGCTCGTTAAATGCCTTATTATAAATATTTATATTAAAGAGGTAGGAAAGAAAAAGAAAATCCTTTACCAGCACTAAAAGAAGAACAGATCATTTGAACTCCGGGGCGAGGACGTTCCATAAACTTTGTTGGCCTCGGACTATAAACATGAAAATAATTAAAACAAATAAAATAATTTTCCTGGGGACATTATATCAGAAGCAAGTCTGTATCTCAAAAATAAATACAAAAGTATGAAATTAAACATGAAGTAACAGGTAGCTAGCCATCTATAAACAGTTTCATGTCACTATGCTTCATGATCTGATCTTGTGGAAATTAGATGCTCTAGATCTGTGGTGTCCAATCAGTTCTGAAACAGTAGTCACTTATCAACCAGCCAAACAGCCACATTCTTCAAGCCAACTAGCCACACTCAACTGCCCCAACAGCCACATGTGGCTAGCTTGCTGGACACCACGGCTCTAGATGGTATGCATGTATCATACTTAAGTAGTTGCAATATATTCTTACACAAAACTATGCCCAAAGTTACTTTTAAGAAAAGGAGGTGGACATCTGGACCACGGTCATTCATAGCTCTGTGCTTTAAGCCAACGAATACCGTTATTCCACTGTCTTCATAGAGCAAAACCTGCTTACAATGCACAAGAAAATGAAACTAAGTTGTTTCAAAAAAAGGTATGCTGAATAAAGGAATGGGTAATTAAAACAGACTTGACTTTGCAGAAACCTATATTCTTTGTAGATAGCATTGGCATCACATTGCTTTGAAATTTCCAAAAGCATCACAATCTCCTATGTAATTTCATATGTTTTTCATCCTGTTCCCTTTTCAACATTTCAATGTCTGATATGAGTAGCAGAAATGACAACTAGAGTTTTAATGGTCCAATCCTGTGACAATTTTTTTTAAATCATGAACATCCAAACATCTGCTCTCTCAATCCTCATTCTCTGATTTTACATATATACTGAAGAAGTCTCGAAACAGTAGTTTTGCACAATGTACCATCTGCAATACGAGAGCTCAGTAGAGAGCAGCAATCACACATACAAGTGTCCTTATTGTAGTTGATTATACTAAACTCTTAATACTGACATTCAAATTATGTAGGCTTTCCTGTCACATAATGAATCCATACCTTACTGAAAATTTATTTCTAAAAGTAGTAAAGGCCACAGATTCTTGACACTAGGGGTTGTTTTTTTTCTAATGTAGCCATGGAGACCTCAAAAAAGCCTGGCTGCTATGACATACTCAACCAAGAATATCTCTAACCAATATATTGCTATATATTAATACTACCAGTTCCCATACTAAGCATAGATTGCAAGAAACAGATGTGAAGTGCCAATTAATAATCCTATATCTTTTTCTAACACTCCATTCAAAGTGGGCTAGCTTAATAACCCTCATTATTCCAAAAATGAAACATACATGTGTTTTCCTATTCTTGTTTTGTAATGAGAGCTACAGCTCCATAGCACTGGGATTTTCACAAAAGCATCCCTTCAGGGTAGGAAAAATATATGTGCAAAATAGAATAACCCTTTCTTAATGGTTATTCGTGTACACATTTTTCAAGGGTGGTATCAACCGGTGATTAACTTTCCAGCTTGCAGAACTTGGAGAAAGTTTGCACAGAGAGCCAAGTGGCTTGTTTTATAGATTCTCTAACATAACATGAATCTGTCCACTGAGTTATCACAGATGTGGAAAACAGTGAGCATTCACACAAACTCTGATTTTGGAAGAGGTAGCTATAGTTGGACTTGCTGGACTATGTCCACTGTGGGCCTGGACACCCCACAAGCAGGGGCTGCTCAGACCAACTCACTGGAGGCCTGGCCCACCGCAGGAAGGAGCTGCTCCAGCCCAGCGGGTGCAGCCCTTGCCGGAGGAGAGAAGGGAGGAAGCAGGGGCTATTCTGGCTGTAATTGGGCAGCACCCATGCTCACTCCCCTCTTTAATTGGTTAAACAGTTAAACAATGTTTAACCGGATAGCCAAGCCAATTAAACAGGATTTTATATCTCTAGCAACCAGTTTTTACAGTATTTGCTGCTGGTTTTGACCATATTCTCCACACAATACTTCACAGTATCTGAACACTGCATACCTCCAGGCTGACATCTGTGATGATACCTTTCCTGACGAGTTCATCTATTGTGATGCTCAACTGATCTGCTTGGATTAATCCAATATCTGAACAACACATTAGATTCCTCAACAGATATACCTTCACTCGTGAACTTAAAAAACAACAAATAGTCTGGTAGCACTTTAAAGACTAACAAAACATGTAGATGGTATCATGAGTTTTTGTGGGCACAGCCCACTTCTTCAGCTGTGCCCACAAAAGCTCTTGATACCAGCTACATGTTTTGTTAGTCTTTAAAGTGCTACCAGACTATTTGTTTTTATTAAGTTTATCCCATATAGGCTACTTCGGGTACCTCCTGAAGCTTTTCTTCACTGGTGAGTTACTACTGAGAGAATTCTGCGGCAAAAATTAAGAATTCTGCATGAATAATATTTTTTTCACACTATTTAAAATTCTACAAATGTTGTCAACAAATAAATATGGAGTCTCCAGCATGGCAGAGGGGAGCACAAGCTACAGCTGCATAGAGGTGGGAGCTCACCCAGAAGCACTCCCTGCACTGGGACATGGACTTGGTGTTGAGCTGCACCTTACCCAAATGCCCCAAGGCCCAGCTCCTCTACACCAGGCACACCAAGTATGGAAAGACATGCTCAGCCTGGCAGAATCCAAGTGTGTTTTTTGGAGGAGAGGGGAGAGAGCGGAGAATCTAGGGGTACGTCTAGACTACATGCCTTTGTCGCCAGAGGCATGTAGATTAGGCTACCCGACATAGTAAAATGAAGCGGCAATTTAAATAATCGCCGCTTCATTTAAATTTACATGGCTGCCGCGCTGAGCCGACAAACAGCTGATCAGCTGTTTGTCGGCTCAGCGCGGCAGCCATGTAAATTTAAATGAAGCGGCGATTATTTAAATTGCCGCTTCATTTTACTATGTCGGGTAGCCTAATCTACATGCCTCTGGTGACAGAGGCATGTAGTCTAGATGTACCCTAGGTGTGGGGTGACAGGGTTTTATGTGGGGCAAGCTGAGTATGGTTAGCTCCATAGGGATTTGAATGTCTGGGAGATCTGGATGTAATGGAGCTCATTGTGGGGGTTCCAGATGCAGGGAAAATGGGACTCTGCTAGACAGTCCAAGCGAAGGTAGTTGGGGCTCAGCAACGGAATTTGAGTGAGGGTGGATAGAACTCAACAAAAGGTCTCGGTATAGGGGAATTAGTAGTGGGGCTGAGGGGCTGGCGGTATGGGTACCTAGAAGCAACTGCTTGGAAATCTAGGGGCTCACTAGGAGGGTAGTTTGGGTAAAGAGAAATGGGGTTCAGTGGGGGTCCAACTGTAGAAGATGAGGGGGTCTGAGTCGATCCCTCCCTCCCTCGCTATCAGACAGAGGCAGCAAAGAAGGGAAAAAGGGGGTGCTTCAAAGCGGCAGTGCTGCACAGCTGATCCTGGGCTCAGCTGTGAGGCACTGCCGCTTTGAAACGCCGAGGCAGTGTACAAATGGGAAGCATCAGCACAGCTGATCCCAATCTCAGCTGTGTGACACTGCCCCTTTGAAACACCGCTGTGGCATTTCAAAGGGACAGCACTCACAGAGGAGTAGCGAGGGTGTTATGCGCCTGGGGGCAAAGGAAAAATTTGCGCCCCTCCCCCGTCGTCATGTGGCACACCCCGAACCTGGTGCATAGCTGAGGGGAACTTGTACCGCATCTTCCCCCACCCCCTAGTTTGGGTCCGGGCTCCCACATGCACTACCCCGCCAGTGGAGATGGAGAAGGGTTGGGCTTGGAGCAGAGAGGCAGGGAGGAGGCTCCAGCTGCCAGTGTCAGGCGGTGTAGGAGCATGTGAGCTGAGGGATGACTGGGGGGGGGAGGGGGAGAAGGAGCAGAACGGGATTAAATTGGTGCCTCCCTAGCATAGTGCCCGGGGCAACTGACCTCTGGCCCCCTCACTATGCCACTGCCCCCGCTCCTGCAGATCTATCATCTCATGCATGTGCAAGATCTGTGGGAGCCGTCCCATGAATCCGCAGTTAGTGTCTGAGGCGCCTGCTTCTAGGTGGTGTCTCAATGCTTCCACATTCACCTCCAAAGAGGGGGCTTCCCAAAGCAGGCCCTTGCTGTTGACCCCCAAAGCATCCACAGGTCCAGTCTCCTTTCAATAGGCCCACTTCCCAGGGCTCACTGATCTTGGATCTGGCTTCCATCCCCTCTCCAACCTTTGCAACTGCCCAGAGGTGCTCACCTTCCGCCTTATACATTCCCATCTCATTCACAGGAATAGTCTCTCTCTCACTTGTCCTAGAGACTATTCTACCAAGACGTAATACAAAGTTTCCATGTAAAATGACTCAATACAAAGCTAAAAACTTCAATGAGAGAATGATTAATACAGAGACGTGTCTACATCTGCTGCAGGGAAACACCTCTGCCTGCCTCCACCTCTCTCCTCCCTGAGTCTACAGCCCCATTGCAAAGCGGGAGAGGGGAAGAAAAGAGGCTGAGGCCCATCCAATGGGACTGAATCAGTCATGAGCAAGCCATCCCCGGGAGCCATTCTCCTGTCCATTGCTGGTGCTGTGTTGCTTCAGGCACGCTGAAATGCAGTCAGCTCTAGAGTGGGCTGGACAGCTGTTTAACACCTGCACAACGTTTCAGGCAGGGAGCAGTGTGGGCTGCCTTCCTGCAGAGCCACCATCAGAACTACTGTGCCCTCCTGGCTTAGGAAAAGAATAAACAGGAGGACTGGAAATTAACGCGCCCAGTCTCACATTCCCTAGGCAGGGAATGAGCCATCTACATTAGGCCCCAGCTGGAGTATCATGTCCAGTTCTGGGTGCCACATTACAGGAAACGTGGAGAAACTGGAGACAGTCCAGAGAAGATCAACACAAAAGATGAAACTTCTAGAAAACATGAGCTATGAGGCAAGGCTGAAGGAATTGGCCTTGTTTACCTTGGAAAAGAGAAGACCGAAAAGGGACATGAGAGCACCTTGCAAGTATCTAAAAGAGTATCATAAGGAGGAAGA